CCACCCCCCCCCCCCCCCCGCAGCCGCCTCCTGTGCAGTTCCAACTGCTAAGCATGGTGGGGAAGCTGCAAGGCTCAAAGTCACCCTGTGAGCTTCCATGGCAGAGTGGAGATTTGAACCTGGGTCACCCGGATCCTAGAATGAAATGCTGACCACCACACACACTGTCTTTTGTGGGGTAGCTGCTGTGGCACAGTAGGGAGCAGCCAGTCGTGGGCAACTCATGCAAGTCACGTGGTAGCAAATTGCATGGTGGTTGCTGGCAGGCCTGGCCCCAATGAGTCCTCCCTTAAAGGCCAAAACAGCTCTGGAATGGGTCCTGCCAAGGGTTGCCAGCCTCCTGGTGGGGCCTGGAGATCTCTTGCTTTTACAACTGATCTCCAGCTGACAGAGATCAGCTCCCCTGGAGAAAATGGCTGCTTTGAAGGGTGGCCTCTAACATTGTATTATGCTGAGGCCCCTCCTCTCCCCAAACCCCGCCCTCTCCTGGATCCACCCCCAAAGTCTCCAGATATTTTCCAACCCAGACCTGGCAACCTGCTCCCTCCCGCTTCCTTTGCTTGTCAGAAACCAAGGCTTGAAGGCTGGCAGCACCCAGAATAGCCACTAAGAGGGCATTTGCTTCTTAAAGCTGCAGGCACTGCTATTTCTATTTGTGTGGGAGTTTTAAGGCAAACACATGATTTGCCACCAAACCTCTCGGTGCCTTTTCTCCTAGCTCACCCCATTAACAACAACTATAACAACAATAAAACACGCATGAGAACCATGACCCACTCTTGGGACCCCATCTACAGTTAAAGAACCAATCGTATAAGCCATTCAGACACCAATGGTAACCTTAAACAAGCATATGACAAATCCCCTCAGAGAACATAATACAAGCCCCAGTCACACAGAGAATTTGCAGCGTGAAAGGCATGAATGTCGAGCAGATTTTCGGGGCGTGATCACACCGCAACATCTGGGAAGCGTAGCACACCTGTGGCAACCCACCGAAGATGCGGAGTTAGAAAGTACCAAGGAAAGTGCATTAGTATCCGGAAAACGCGCAGCACAGGCGGACGTCTGATCACGGGAGCACTAGTATCCCATGGCATCCGGCGCTCGTCCACGTTCCGTCGCAAACCGGATGTTTTTTGTAAGCGCATGCGCACAAACACGAAACTGAAAGCAGTGCTGCTCCACGGAACTGCGCATGCACACAAACATGAAACGTTTGCGTGATCGCGCCGCGTTGCTTCTTTGCCACGCTGCAGCATCGCTGTGTGATCGCCAGCTAACAGCCGAAGCACGAAGACTCGGGGGACCGTGTGATCGGGCTACCGCACTTTATTTTGCTCTGGGGCGAACAGCCAAACCTCCCCCCCGCCCATTATCTGGCCCGTGTGACCGGGGCCCCATTCTTACAAAAACAAAGTAGTTTTGCACAACAGCAGTATAATATTTGGGCTCTTTTATCTATTACACTGACATTGAAGATGAAGGGCATTTTCACACATTACATTAAACTAAAAGCATTTGTGTTTTTTTAAAAATATACTTCCCCTTTTCTATAATGCAAGTGATGAACCTCCATTGGATATGAAGTGCGCTCAGTTTATAGAGTGGC